CTGCCCTTGAATTCCTTTCCTTAGATCTTTAACTAGAGTGTTAAAAGTACTGGGTAGGTGGGTGGGAAGTAATCAACCAAAGACTTTGTATGCATATAATGCATAACCCATGGACACAGACAGGGTGCTGAAGGCCTGTGGTAGGGTGGATCCTGGAGGGGGTCATGGGGGAAAAAGGGGACATATGTAATACGTTCAATAATAATTATTAAAACAAATAAAGGTAGGCTTGACTGCAAAAAATATGCTTATGAATATGTTTCTGTTAGTATGAAAAAATGAAATATATAGCCAGGATTGTTAAATGGTTCAAAATTCCACTTTTTCTCTAAATACATTTTGGGAAGCTGCTGGTTGGTAAGGATCACATTGATGAGTAATTCTTAAAAACTGTGGTTTAAATGAAATTATACCATATATATTTTTATATTTTCAGGGACTTTAAGATTTAATTTTACTTTTACTTATTCATTTATTTTTTAAAAATCAAAAAGGGTAGTAATAGAATATGAATCCAATTATAGGAATTTAACTTGGCCTAGTTCCCCAGATTTCTAAACTCTGGGTGGGTTGTTGTTTTTATAGAATTTAATTGGCTCTTTACTCTGTCTTGGAAAATTTTGCTAACAGTGTATGGGAGTTTGTAGTTACTAAACATAAAAGGATATTAAGAGATATCCAGATGACATTATCATTTACATGGCACAAGATATGGGAGACCTGTTAGTGTTAGAAATTAGTTTCATATACTTTCACTGGAAAATTTATGTAAAAAGACTAGCTAACTACATCAACAAATGATAGTTAAGTGCCACTATTAAGTGAATGATAATAAGCCTTATTCTCAGGTTGTTGATATTTTGATTATTATATTTGCAGGCAGATTTTCAAGGCATAACATTCAGAAGTTTACTGTTTCTTTACAGATATTCATATATTTTTGAGACTAACCTTAGCCTAGCTTTTCCCCCATTTTTAATTTCCAAATTTTTCATTTCAAGTTTGAGAAAAATTTGAGTTTTCTTTTCTTTCTTTTTCAAATATATTACTCTACATAATTCTGTGTCATTTCAAATAGTTATTTCATGGCATTTTGCTTTAAATGATCAGTCTTCCCAGTTATATCTTTAGGAAGTGAAATATGCTCTCTACTTTATAGTTACTTTTTATGCATATATCACTTTCCAGTTGCTTTATATTTAAATGTAATTGTACCAGAGTCTATATGCTAATCAGTTTTCTGAGCAGCAATTTTAGTGTTCTTAAAATTTTAATGTAAGTCTCTAAAATTAAACATTTAAAACTTTACTGTTTATGCAGTAAATTCCTGAAATCTAATTACGCCAGGCCCTGTTCTAAGCACGAAAGATAAAGAGTGGAAAAAACAGACAAGTTCTCTGACATCATGGCATTTGCATTCTGGCATGGGGACACAAATGACAAGTAGAAAAGCAAATGGCATGTGAAAGGTTCCAGCAACACCGCAGTGGGGTCCTGGTTTCTGCTGAAACTCCTAGGCAAGGAACTGACAGGCTGCACTGGTCTGCTTGCTCTTCTCCAGGTAACCAAGAGAGGGTAATGGGGCAGGCACAGATGGTCACAGTGGATTATCCTCTTGGAAAGGAACCATTCTGCTGCTGTCCACACTTATTGGAGCCCCAGAGGACCCCCCAGCTGAGCATGTAACAGTGGGAGTTTTGCAGTCATGAGAATGGCTGCCAGTGGAGAGAAACATCTTGTAGCAACACCAGCTTTACTGATTGTACCTGGAGTCCTTTTGAGACGTCAGAAGGAGCTATTTGTCCCAGCTAGCTCTTACAGGCAACTTTGAGAGCTCCACCAGCGGTCAGGGATCACTCAGTGGACAAATCTATTTGCCTTTCCTCAGTCTGCCCCCAGGAGTCCAAACATAAGGCTTTCTATCAGTGACATGAATTAATGGGCTTATCTGTATTTTAAAAAATAGAAGAAATAGAGAGTTGTTCATTCATTGACCTCCTTCACCTGCTTCCTAAGGTTGGGCATGTTCATTTCTCGACACTCAGGATCTGTCAGCCTCAAGGATGAACCAAATTGTCTGTCCTTTTCCCAGAGTAATAAACTTCCCGAAGACTTGGGAGTCACTCTTTTGCCATCATAAGAAACTTTCGGGGCAAAGGAGGATGGCTGTAGAATTGTCCAGCACAAAGTTAGTGAATACGTTCCTACTCATCCAGGTTGTCTAAGAAACATCCGCAGTGGTCACAATGAGCGAACTTGACCATCATCATGTTGCTGCACTTTTGCCAGACCCATAGGCACAGCAGCCACAGTCTAACCAGAGAGGCCTCTTGGAAATCCCCAGGAGACCTATCTCCAGGGGAGACCTTTCTCCGGGGGGGAATTGCTCATTCCCGTCTTCAAGATTAATGACTGCTGGGGTTTCTTTTGCTATTACTACCCCTTGTAGTACTACCCCTTCCCAACAAATCTCTTAGGTCCATTCTGGGTCTTTGCATCAACCCATCAGTTCTATTTTGTTTTCTTGTTTTCAAGCCTCATAATTTCTTTTACTGTTGTTTTATGCAATCAGTGTTCTTGTAAATAGGTAACATAGCATAAGTGTATTAATAGGGTTCTAATGGATATACTGGGTGAGTCTGGGGAGGCTTTAGAGAAGATAGAGCATTTAAGGTAAGGTTTTAAGGGCAGAGAAGCAGGGAAGAAATATATTCTTGACCATAGTGTCATGGAAGAATAAAACGTTTTCAGGTGTGTTCAGGAAATGGCAAGAAGTTTTGTGTGGTTAGGGGTGTATAAGAATAGTATAAGAATACTTGGGAATAGAGTGTTGGAACAGGTGCCTCAATCTTATATCAGGAATTACCTGACCTATTTAAAGATGACCTACTCGTGGTCATAATTTAAAAGTCTCCTATAATAACTCCTTTCATTTTATATTTAATGATATTAATAATGATATTTTTATCTGTCATTTGTATGTCTTCAACTCATTTTCCCTATTACCTAATTTCATCTTAACAATATGTGAGTTACACAGATCTGAAAATGTTATAGTATTCTAATATTTAATGTTGAAGAAACTGAGGAATTGAGAGGTTACATGGTCTACTCACAGTCAAATGGCTACGTTTAGAGTATCGCCAGATCTTCTGATTCTTAATTCCATATACTTGTTGGATGTTATTTTTGTAAATACATGCTTTTTCTCTCTGTTTTTCTCCTTAAGTTATTGTCTTTCTTTTTTCCATAGGACTTGGCTTTTACCCTGGAAGAAAGACAACTGTTGAATATTCATGGATTATTGCCACCTGGCTTCATCAATCAGGATATCCAAGTTCTTAGAATAATTAAAAATTGTGAGCGTCTGAACTCTGACTTTGACAGGTAACACATTTTATATTTCTCTTAGGCAGTTGTTTATTTTATTTTTTATTAGATGAGAAAGTTAAAATATTTAGTGATTTGGAAAAAATAGTCAACTTTGAGGAGAATTTGCCTATAAATACAATGATGTTTTTAAAAATTTACCTTTTTAGGAAAATTTAGGAATAAAATTTTCCTTTCCAAACTGTTATCCTCAGAGAGACTACTTTGCTCTTGTGATAAAATTGTTGCTATAAAGGTAAGTTATCAGGAAATGCCATCCTGAACTGAGCAAAACAGGTTAAAGTGGCTTTTAGTCAGACTATGAGTGCATATTGGATGCACTTTTTCAACTTCTAAAGCTGGTTCTAATGCTAGTGCGAATTTAGGTCACTTACTGTGTTTAGAATTCATTTCCATGTTTGCACAGAGATAAAGGTAACGTGTGCCCTATCTCAGTAATGAGATAGCCCTAGGTTGAAATTCTGGCTGTGTTTCACTAGCATTGGGGCGTCGAGCAAACCATCACAACCACTGTCAGGACCACTCTGTATGACTTGCCTTCTGCTTTGGACTCTTCCCTTATTTAGGCACTAAACCTCAGGTTTTTCATTTATGGATTGAAGAGAATAGTTATTTCAAAATATTGTTGTGAAGTTTAGAAGAGGTAGCTAACTCAATACCAAGTAAGTATTTGTATTAGTCAGGGTTTTCTAGTGGTCTTCAGAGAAGCAGAAGCAACAGGATATATGTGTTGTGCGCGCATACACACACACACACACACACACACTCACACACACATTACATCCTGTTGGATGGAGATATATATTTATTTCAAGGGATTGGCTCCCATGATTGTGGAGCCTGGTTAAGTCCTAAGTCTGCAGGTAGACTGGCAGCTGGAGAACAAGAAAAGACTTGCAGTTCGAGCCTAAAGGCAGACTGCTTGCAGAATTCCTTTTTACTAAAGAGAATACTACTACTAATTATAGAAAATCCCCCTTAGTAGGCAGGATCAGTCACCCTAGCCAGCACAGTAACTTCCTTCCTTGTTATTGATTCAGAGGCATGTGGTGTCCATAGTGGCTAGTGGCCATCTTAATTTCCAACCTAATGGAATAATTGTCTCCTGGTGGAAACGTCCCTCCTTTTGAAACTAAGACTTATTGGCCAGCAGAGCATAAAGTCATGGGGACAAGAAGCAGAAATTTTGCTAGTGGGTCACTGGCAACAATAGTGAGTGGTGCCATTTCCATTTTTACCCCTGGGTTCGTGGACCTGTGAATCCTGATTGTGGGAGAAATAGCATCATACTGGACATGGATTCATAGCCTCTTAGAGAACTTTGCCTCAGCTTTGCAAGGTATTACCACCTAGCTGGCGTTGTAACTGAGCCTCAGGAGGCCATTCCACCATTCTGTCGAGTCAGCTGCTTCAGGATGGTGGGGAAACATGGTAAGACCAGTGAATTTCATGCATACAGGCCCATTGCCATGCTTCATTTGCTCTAAAGTGAGTCCCTTGATCAAAAGCAATGCCTTGTGGAATACCATAATGGTGGATAAGGCATTCTGTAAGTCCAC